AAAAAACACAAGGAAAGCCAACAAATCAGGTTATAAAGAGTACCTACCTCGCCACTAAGTTTATTATAAGTTGTGGGGACAATCTTCACAAAGTATTGATACATACTGCCGGCTGCAAGAAGATTAGGTTTTAATATGAATTTTTGACAAATTTATGCATAGCCCTGAAGATGCATTAGTGATGCAAAAAGCTTGTCTTAGTTTATTAAATATCTTAATTAAATGTGGTTTGTTGTTCTCACAAAATTTTTTTAGGACGAAAAACTTTACCAAAACACATATGATTTAATCAATGGTGGAAACTATCTGTAAACTAGTGTGAGCTGCGTTGGTGTTTCTAAAGAAAGAGTKTTGTAAAAAGATAAATTTAACATTGTAAAAAAGTTGGTGAAACAAGTTACGGGTGTTTCAGACGTTAATCCTTCATCTCTTTACTCCGTTGAACATCTGAAAGGTCAGTAAGTTGTTTCACCTACATTTTTATGGTGTTAAATTTATCTGGTTTTTACAAAGCACATGATTTTATTAGAAAGAGGAAAAACCATGATGGAGAATGGACTTACGCTCGTCGGCAACAATGGCTGTGTTGTCCAATGGGTACTCTTTACCAGGGTAGTCATAGCCAAATGATAAATGGTTGATTTTATGAGTGATATTAAACTARAAATATAAAATTAAATAATTAAATTTATGATGAATTGAACATACTGAATGGATGATTGRAGGTTTGATGGAAGGAGTGGATAAAAGTGGGATGAAAGGAAAGAGGAAGGGACTGAGAGATACATAAATAATTAGACAAATTATGTTGCTATAACTTCTAATTACCTGTGTTTGACCAAATGGTTGCAARTCATGTACTGTAAGAGAAAACAAAAACACATTRGGCTTGTCTTACACAACTGTCAAATTTACACCATAATTCAWCAGATTGAAATACAAAAAAATACAATWATGTTGAAAAATAAAAACRTTTTATATTGGTGAGCACAAATTTCTGCTGTTTAACTTAACCAAAAATCTAACTCAGGTTGCCACAGAAATAAATACATCTAAGAGGTGTTATTAATATTCTACTGATGAAGATTATAATGTTAATAGTGATATATATTTTACTGTGCTGTTAAAGTGTTTAATTTTTTATTCATTTACTGAGTTTAATGTGTTTATTTTTAGAAATTTAACCAAGTTTTTTTTTTCACTGCTGCACAACTTATTGTGGTGTTTATTCGATCACAAACTAAGTCTTGGGTCGCTTTCATTTGACCATGAAGACCAATAGTTGGTACCACACTCTGAATCTAATTGTTTTCATTTGCTTGTTATCAATAATACCAACTAAACTGTCATTTTCATTGCATGGTTAAATGAAAACAACTCTAAAGACATAAATCACGGTAAAATTGCACATGCAAGATTGCACAGATTATTGCTGTGATTTTCATCAAATATGAACTCCAATGGTTTAACAGTTTCCCATATTTAGAAACATCGCAGCAATAATTATAATTGTCTTTATAAAGGACCATCACTTAGAGTTATTGAACAGAATAATGATACTTACAGTTCATTGATATTATATTGCCRCCTGATTTAAGCTTGAGTATTGCAACTGTGCAAGCATAAAAGGTTGAGTTCTTTTTAGTTTTGTGTTATTTTGTTCTCATATTTTTAGCTGTTTTCTGTTGTTTATAAGACAGTTCATTGTTAAGTTGTTGTTTTGTTTTTAGTATTGAAAGAGTAATGGGTTGAGTTTTTAGTTTTTTTGTAATATTTGTGTTTGTATGTCTAGTCATTTTGGTTTTATTTAAAGTAAGTTTTAAATTATGAAAGTTATTGTTG